AAACACAGACTCTGCTGCCCGCATGTTTTTTTCCTCTGAAGGAGTCAAACGGTGACCTACATATGAGAAATCACTTGTCCTTGAAAAAAGCCTTTTGAGGGAATTTTATCATTAATGTCTTGTATTTGTTTTTTGTTTAATCCAAGCAGGGAAGGAAGGTGACAGCTTTATCTCAGCAGACACGCGTTCAGCTCAGCTGCTGTGCCCCAATACTTCAATTTCTTGCTAAAGAGTCCCGGTGTCTTTAAGCTCCACATGTTCTTCATGAAGTTAATGGACTGTCCTGAAGGATCCAGTCTGTTGAATAACACTGACCTCATGTGAAGAAGGCATTTGTATTCAGCTGGTTTTCAGATTTTTAGGCTAATACAGCATTTTTCCCTGATTAATTAATTGGGATTTTTTGCATGAGTAAGGATTACTTCAACAGTCAAGGCTTAACAGGATTTGACTTTCATGATGCACTGTGCATTAGGAAAGATGTTTATTTTCATGCCTTCTTTAATTTCCATTACATTGCAGTCAGTGCTTCCCAGACAGAGAAAGGTAAAATACTGTTTTGGCAGAAACAGTGTGTCATTTGTGTAAGGTGCATGTACTTTAGCTGTCCTTAACTGCTGTGTTTTCACCATTCGGGGGGAAAAAATTGTTTTATTCTCTCTTGAGTACATCTTTTTCTAATGCTTGTAGTGTTGGTTCATTGTGTGTCCTTGGGGAAATCTGTCAGTCCTGCTTTTAATTACCTCCACTCACTCTCTGTTTGCCCAGGCAAACAGCAGTAAGACACCATTAAAATGGTGGTCCCATCCCTCTGTTTGGACAATATCTTATCCTCTCCTCAATTTTTCTCTGTGATGCTGCTGTCCCATTTTGTGGTTGATGGAGCATGGTGTGCCTGGGTCGATGCACTCCCTTCTGGCAATGTAACCGTCAGATGATGGGAAAGGTACAGAAGTTCAAGTGGCTCCTTGTATTACCATCTGCTAAAGATGTTGCTGCCTTTTAGCACAGCTTGGCTTATCTTTTAATAACTGACTATGGATGGGCTCCACTGACTTCCACTGGCTCAGGGCTGCAGCAGCACAGGCAGCAGTGGTGTCCTGGAGGAGGCACAGGGCAGCATTTGGCACAGCCTGGGGCTGTGATTCCATTGGAGACCCTGGTTTCAAAAGACTTTGGGCACCCTGTGAGAGACCCTTGCTGCAGTTGCAGGGGTGACAAGGTGAACCAGCACACTGTGGCAGCAACATGGCCAAACCTGTTTCCTCAGGGAGGCTCTGGGGAGTCTTGGGAGCCTTTAGGGGCTCTCCAGTGCCACAGTGGTTCCTGTCTCTGTGGCAGAGGGACAGCTCTAGCCAGTGCTAGGTCACATCTGGTGTGCATTTCCAGGGGTGTTATCCTGTCAGTGTGCACAAGTCTGATATTCTGTCAAGACCTGCTCAAAAGGGCCATGGTCTTTCCAGCAGGACCTTGTTGAGTGTAAATGGTGAAAACCATTCTTATCCTGGCTGCCATCTAGCACCTCTTTTGTCCTGGACCTCAGGAGATTGCAAATCAAGCTGAATGAGTCACCTGGTATGTGGAAAGCAGGAATAGCTCTGCTGTGGGATGTCTGGGATCTGGGTACCAGAGCAAGGGAAGTGTTGGGCGTTATTTTAAGAGGCAGTGGAAGGGATGGATGTGCAGTGTGTGGAACGTGACGGGTCCAACCAGTGTGTGTTTTGTCATATGCTGGGAGAGAAGGTACAAATACATGAAAACTATTTTCTTTCAGCTCCTCAGACTATTCTAGGTGATGTTATTGGCTCCTTAGACCCTTCCCTCCAGAGAGTCAGTGAGTATTTAAAGACTTGTAGGCTACTTTGCTCCGCTTTTTTCTTTTTTTTTCAATCTCTTAGGAAAAAAATGGAAAGTGTGAGAGGAAGAATCTTCCTGAGACCTGCCTAGACATGTTCATTTGCAACTCTTTAACTTGGAATGTAGATGTATTAATGCTGAACATAGTGATTCTGAATGACATACAAATTAAAGGTCTTTGAAGGGAGCTCTGCAAAATACCCACAAAACTGATGCTCCTCCAAGTGCTGTAGTGCAGAATCCCCGTGTCAGGCTTTAATTCTCACCTGTGCCTGAAAGGAGAGGCTTGGCCTTTGAGGTGATATTTCATTCTTCCACTGTGGTCATTAAAGTCCTTCCTCTCTGTGGAAGAATTTGCCAGTTTATGTGAAACGTTGTGGTGTTTTAAATGTCAGATATCATCGTGCTGGCTGGGACTGTCCTGATTTCATTATTTCATTTCATGCAGGCCACTACACAGCCAGGATCTCTTTTTTTGCCACAGGATTAAAATGAGTTAACAGTAAAGATAAAATCTTTTCATCCTAGCCTGCCTCTTTTAAATGTACAGTCTCCTAGCCATGGTTTTCAAAACTACACAGAGGGGATAAATTTTGCATTAGTTTGCTTAAATTGATGAATTTAACCAGGATTTGAAAACTGGCTTTTTCTAAAGTAAACAGTAAAACAAAGGGAATTAT